GCAGGACATGTGTGTACGTCGGCTTCATGGGCGAGAAAGACCCACGATGGCCTGCGGCTAAGGCGCGTTTTCGAGACCAAGGTACCGGGGAGGGGCTAAGGCGCGCAGGCCTAGGATCGGTGGTCGCGCTTCAACCGCTGGGCCAAATTTACACTATTGCTGCCGCGGCAGTTCAAGGCAGATGCTCACAGGGAGCGGGCAGTTGATAATACAGTTATCCTGATGATTGATTTAACAGTCCACGTGGCGGAGTATCACGAAATAGAACGTGTGCTGTGTGGAAAGAAAGCAGTTAAAGGCCAGCGATAAAAGGTGGTTAAAGGTCGTGGAGACTGTTTCAAACGACGGTATGAACGTGGGTGTGAAGCTGCCCCTTTAGCGCGGCGTGTCGACTGCGGCACCTTAGCCGGCGCACCGTCGCCTCCGACCCTGGCCGGCGTCTTACGGCGGTCCGACCGACCTTACGACATGTGTGACTCGTCGCGCCTTAGCCGCGCAGGGATCCAGCTGGCCGCGGCCTAAACAGAGACAGTTTTGACCGGGCTATTTTTCAGTAATCGTCTAAGGAGGCTATACAATCCCCTATGGTCATCATGACACGGGGCGGAGCATTTCCAACCAGCCGCACCTATAGAGCAGAGAGGCGCTTGAGTTTTGGTGAATTAGAGCAAGAGAGAGAGTCTTTCTTCTTCACACCCAGTCCTACAGACCCTTGCACAATTCCTAGAGATTAAGCTCCGACTGATTTGTGGAAAGGTGAACATCTTAAACGTCGAAGATATTCGCTTCAGAAATTCTTACCTTCTGATAACGAAAGGGACAGAACATGTTAAACCCCTCACGGGTTTCAAGTCAGAACCTGTGATTTGGTGGTCACCGAGTCAAAGCGCTCCCGGCATCAGGAGAAGAGTCCACAAGCACGTCCAAACACTGATCCTGGGCGTTTGTTTGCTAAAAAGTTTGTAATTTTCTTTTTGTGGTAAGTAACTTATAAAAAGGCTATTTCTTTGAATTTGTTGTAATCGACCGAAGATATAATGAATTCCATAACAAAACCAACTTTTGACGAAAACAGCGCACAGGAACAATGAGAGTTTATTCCTCGAATAATTCTCTTTCGAAAATTATTCACAACCCCAACTTGATAATACAATTCATCGGTATGATTGCAAAAAAATCGTATTGTCTGTTGGTATGACCTCCCAGGTATGACGATATCATTTGGTGAATGCGTCTTCTTCTGGGGGTGTAAAACCTTGTTGGCATTCTCAGGACAATTTATTTTTGTCTTTGAGCGATCCAAGGTTATGTCGGGAGTCACACGTTTAAAACCACTCCCTTGCGGGTATGGAGTCTTAACAGGCTCCGAATGCTGATTTTGCATAAGTCCAGACTTTGGAATCCAAACTTGGCAGAGTTTCAGTGGTTCTTTGGTCACCGTTTCCTTCCTCCTTTCTCATCTTTGTTGTAGGAGAGTTCGGACATGAGCAGCATTTGTACGACGTTTTTGTATACGTTCTTTGAGGGACGAACGAGTCCTTTTGACAATAGTCCATTCCTCCGTCGTGAGTTTAGCAGAGACATGAATGATTGGTTGTTGAGACAACTGAACCACTCGATGCCTCCTCGACTCTAAGTCCGCATGATAACGAACTCCGTCGGTTTGTTCCAAGGCCTTAGCAATTTGACAAGCGTGGCGTTGGCGTTGTCTCTGACGAGCTCTTTTCGTCAATGCCCGGGCTTTGATTTAATGACTCTTTACTTGGCGAAGAGCCATTATGAGCAGAGAGGTTGTGAGTAGAATCCTCAGCAACAATCAGGCGAGAGTCTTCATTCTGTGCCTTCTTTGGCATGAAAGTCTTCTTCAATGTTGAGATCCTCTTGTACTTGCGAGACAACGAAGATCTTGAAGAGGATGATGAGAGATATTCCTCAAACTTGGTTTGGTCGAATTCGTATTCGACCATGGATTCAACTGGAATCTTGATCGGCTGCGACACGGCGGTCTCGACAGCGAGACCGTTGGCTCCCACTGTGGTCGCCAGCTTGTTTGCGTCAAAAGTTAACTTTGTCATGGAATTCATTATATCTTCAGTCGATTACAATAAATTCAAAAAAAGAGACAGCATTTTTATAAGACTTCTTTTACACAACAAAATGAAAATTACAACTCTTGAGAAACAAACGCAGGATCGTTGTTTGGATCGCTGCTTGCGTGGGATCTTTACCTGTGCCGGGGGTGCGTTAGCCCGTGGACCACCAAATCACAGATTCTGATCGAATCGTGAGGGGTTTATGATTCTGACTTCGTTTATCGAAGTGAGAACTTGAAACGATATCTTATCAAGGTAAGATAGTCGTTCTTCTTGAAATCAAGTCAAAGCCTGAATATCAAGGAGTTACAGAAGCTCGAGTACTCTGCCCTCTCTGCTCTGAAATCAGCCTGTGGATGCTCTCTGATCAGCCTCCTTCAAAAATGGCCTTCGGGGGGTATTTATAACCCATAGGAACAGTTGGCGGAAAACAGGCTCGCGAGACAGCATTTGCTGTCTCGGCTGTCGAGACAGTGTTTGCTGTCTCGGCGGGCGAGACAGTGTTTGCTGTCTCGGCGGGCGAGACTAGTAACGATGCTGCGCCGGAAACAGTAACGCTCAGCAGTTTTTCGTTTTAACTGTCTTCCCACGTTTCAAACTCCGTTATTTTGGCAGTTATAACGTGATTCTCGCCACGACGTTTCCCACGTTCTTGAACAGTTGGTGGCCACGTGTCGGCGTGTTTATAAAACAGTTTCTGAGCTTTTGAGAACTGTCTCGTGGGCGAGACAGAGAATACTGTCTCGCGGGCGAGACAGAGAATGCTGTCTCGCATGGCGAGACAGAGAACACTGTCTCGCCTGGCGAGACAGTAACAACTGTCTCGCCTGGGAGACAGAGAACACTGTCTCTGCATGGCGAGACAGAGAATACTGTCTCGCCTACGAGACATAAAGACTCGTCTCGGCGTGCAATACAGCCCATACTTGTGTTCTTCTGCCTTTTTGAGCTGTATTCGGATATCTCTCAGCATTTTTGACGCCTACACTAGCTACAACCAGTAGCTACAAATTTACTGAAAATAAATTATCTTAAAAAATCATCGTGGAACTCTTTAGCAGTATAAAGTTAGGGGGTATTTTGAAAACTCTTTAGCAGTATAAGAGGTTATGAGAAAACTCTTTTTAAATTTAAATTAGGGGGTATTTTGGTAACCCCTAAACTTAAGGGGATTTTCTAATATTTTGAAAGCTAAGGGTCTTTTTCATAATCGTTCATGGTTAAGGGGGTTTTCTGATATTTACCCTTTTTATTTTTTTTATTTTTTTATTATTATATTTGATAGGTACCCATTTTAAAATTAATGAACGGCTTATATCGGTATTGTATGTGTATAAGCCGTGGTCCCCATTCGGGCATTGAAAGCTAATGATACTTGGGGAACCGCATTGAGTGCATGATACACACCAAGACAAAGCGTACAGCTGCAAATTCACGAAATACAGCATCTCAGCCTTGTATGCCAAAAGGCATTTTAAGGAGGGTGGTTCTGCAAAAA